CATATGAAATCAAATTTTTCGAATTATAAAATAATGAATGTCCAGTTTTAAAAAAACTGCAGTGCAAGAAACTTTCAAGTATTCGAAGTCTTAACAATGCAATTTTCTATTATATTATCCAAATATTTCCTCATTTTCCTCCATTAATGACACAGTAAAACTATCACAGACTTTAATAATTGAAATTAATATCTGAAAATGCAATTCAAGAATTTTTAGAGTAGTAGAAAATTCATGCTTAAAAAATTTATCTTCATGAAATAAATCTAAAAAATAGTACCAAATATTCAACCTATCCATAAGATTATTTGCACCATATATTTGGTGAATGAGATCTAAAATTAGTATCATACAGCAGTTCAGTTAGAAAATTGAAATGTGTACGAAACGAATTAAATATAATATGAGAAAAGAATTGAACTCATACCATTATATTCTCCTTAGCTTAATTATTATATTTTTTTAGAAAATCTGCAAGTTTCATGCTAATTTCAGATTCATGACTTCATCTTGATTTTCTGCCTTCTTTCCTCAATAATGCGAAAATACTTCTACGTCTGATTTCTTCGTGTTAGACATTTGGCTTACAATTAAAATAGTGGAATTTAATAACAAAATTTATGAAGTTAATAGTTATAATGTAAATTAGTTTATAAAAGAAACGCATTTGTGAGTAACAGTAAAAAGGAAAGTATTTCAAAAAGAAATTTATAGATAACGGCTCGAAGCAGGATTACGAAATCGTCCTTTTACAATCGTAATTAATGATAATACTAACGATCATAATTACAAATATTATGCTATAAATAAATGACTAATTTTAATTTCCATAGTAGTGTGTTAGAACTTACTCTTACAGTACAATATTCACTCACGAATATTTTATGAGAAAAGAAATTTCTAAATTCGTTCGGCAGAATTGTCTTATCCCTTTACAGTGGACTACTTTCCATATAACGCCATTAAGTTCTAGTATGCGACTAAGAATCTAGGATATTATGTCCAACAGTAACAATGTCTGACTGCATACATCATATACTTCAACATAACAAATACGAACTCGAGCATATGATTGAGTACTAATAATGCTTAACGTAATTGCCTTTTAAAAATTCAAGGAAAATTTTTCATTGATTAAAATTACTAATTGAAACGTTTGAAGAAACCTTTGCTCGTTCCACATTAGCCGTTGTATATTCTAGAAAACGACTACGTGTGCTGCTATGCTTAATTTTTTCGTCATGTCGTTGATTCCAACCCTAAAAAAAATTAGATAGAATAGAAAGATTAATGGGAATAAGATGAATCTTAGAAACATACTTGATGCATATAACTGGAATAATTAATTATACCTACTGTACAATTGCATGTCAATAATATCCTCTAATATCTGATACTTATTTAATATATCCAATATTCAATACTACTTAACGCTAAAACTGTTTACATAATTAGCAGAAAAGATCAATACCATACCTGATAATGAACAGTATAAATGGGTTCACCATCAAGACCATGTTCCACATTGATAATTTTCGCTTCATAATAAAGATTATCCAAGTGCTGACAGAGTACTTTGGCATGTAATTCGTAAACATCCGAGGGCTTTGAAACTTCCTGTAAAACAAATTCTACATTTAAACAATGTTTTTTAGATACTAAAAAGTGAACATAATGAAAATTTTTAAATGTACTAATTGTACAGAACAACACTGAAAGCTGTTACATTCAGCTACATAACAGAAGTGACTGCTATATGTAACGTTAAGCAGTATATAACCAAAATTAGATTGTAGAAGCATATTGCAAGTTATTCATACTATAAACCAGTCAGAATAGATAACAGAGAAGCATTCATATCCATGTTTACTACACTGAGAACTTCACGGGTATCTCTTAGGAAATTAAGCATAACTGCAACAAAGCTTAAATGCATTTCAAATATTACGAATAGAAAGCAAAAAAAGTCCAACTTTAGCTGCGTCTTTGGTAGCGGCGCTTTCCTTTTTCGGAGGCATCTTTAAGCTTCGTGATGGAAGAATGACACAAAAGAAAAAACCACCAATAAATCCAAGTAGCTCCTGCAAAAAAATAAATTGCTGATCATTCCAAATAAATTGAAATTTTACCAAATTCGAAAATGGAATAGAAAACAATTAGTTTTGGAAACGAATAATTTATGACAACAGAGTAACTCCTTCTTTGTTTAGCAAGCTTTTATTTATTTTCAAATTGAAGTAAACTTAATAACTTTATTGAAATCTACACGAGAAAAAGCAGTGTATAGGCATATCTCAACTTCCTTCATATGGAAACTATTTAAATTGGCGTCTAAATTTATCTGAAAAATTATAAGACAATGTTTCAAATTAACATCTTTATAACTTGAGTTTCAACAAATAAACATCACTTTCAATCTGCACATCTACGTATCAGAATATGAATTGTTTAGTTAAGATAAAAAAGATTTTAAAGAGATTTATAGCACACCAACTTCACTGGATAAAAATTCTTTATAATTGATGCATATATAGTGTTTTTCTCTTGAATAATATTATTTTCAAATAGAAAAGACTATTCAAAATGCTTTCTGAACCTTTTCCTGATAAAATTAGTCTTAACATGTTTTGAGCATGTATGTTCGAAAATTTCTGAGATGAAACCACTAACAAATAAAAATGAAAATGAAACAAGGAATAAAAAAGTAAAAACAATTCGTTACTCAAAAATTCATTTGAAATAATTCCTAAATATGAACATGGAAGAAAAATTAAGAAAAAAGAAATAAAAATATTGATGTTATAAATGTTATTTCAGAGACAATATAAATGTTATTTCACCTATTTGATAGTTAGAAAATTGGTGGATGCATACAATGTTATTAGAGATTTTAAACAAGCATCACTGACACCGAAACAACCTTTTATCAAACAGTTAAAAGATATGATGAAGTGAAATTATACAAATATAAAGTTTACAAGAGGATAAATACAACAAAATAGTTCAGAATTTCGATGCCAAATATTAGTAAAATAAATTCATTTCTTTAATTCAAAAATATTTACTTGGAAAACTGAAAATATTAGCTGGAAACGGCACTTTGTTGATTTATGTTTGTTGACTATCTATATTAAACTTTTTTTCCAACTTCCCTTTTTCATTCATATAACAATATTTCTGTTTCATTTTATTCTATTTCATTCTTCAGTTCTGCTCATTCTGTTCCTCATCCTTTTGTCATTTACAAAAACATTCTTCGTCCTTTTTTTTCGAGAAAGAAATCCTAGATTACAAAATTTATCATTCATCTGATCATTTGACATTATTTCAAGATTTCGAACAAAATATCACTTACTGCTTCGAATCAAGAACGTATATAATGTAAAATAAATGTAAATGGAAAGTTTCAAGAAAAAAAGCAATGGTATATAAAATTTTGAAAAAAGAAAACTAGAAGGAAACGGATGACAATCACTGTATTAGAAATAGTTGCGCATAACTGGAACCGGTTGTTACACCAAAAAAAAAAAAAAAAAAATACCACAAAATTACCGCCACAGAACAAAATTTCACCTATTACATTACATGAAGCTACACCTAACCGCATTTTACTCATCACTTTTAACGGAAAGATACGTGATGAGCATTCGCGTACTTTAAGAAAGTTTGCGAAAACTTCAACTATCTTTTACGTTGGTGAATGTCATCACATATGAAACGTATGAGAGCGAAACACGAAATACACAGAAGCTAAACGTTTGCCACCACGCAACATCACGCTTATCCCAACAAGAAACACGTGAGTGGTATTGTGCGGCTCGCCGAGAAGTAATTAATGGGCACACAAAATATTACTTCCAAATTTCAGAAGTGCTTTTTATGTTTGACAAAATGAAATAAGAGAGAACTAATTGATGTTTAAATTATTACAAAATTTCATTCTGAAATTTCGGTTTTACTTATTCCACGGTTTTCATTCGTTTCAGTAATTAAAGAATTTTTCGACAAGAATAATTGAATTACAAGCTTTTTTTTTGATTAAAAATTGTGACTCAATTTTATTTTTAAAACTTTTATACAATTTTTTTTTTTTTTATACAAAAAAAAAACTTTTATATAAAAACTAAACATTATTTCAGCAATACGAATAATGTATGTTTTATGATAAAAAGATGTAGAATTCATTGAAGTATTATAAATTTTGGCGATGTACGTGGATCGAATGTTATATGACAAAATGTTAATGTATGCGCATATGAATGTTGGAATTTAGTTTTCAATGATAATTGAGAGATTTTCCAAAATGAATTTAGTTTTGAATTTAAATTTTGAAACATTTTTATTTGGAACATTTATTTGAATACAGGATGAAAAGAAAAACATACACGCACATTTGCCAAGTTTGAAAGCTAAATGGAAGCGGTTTATTTCATATCGTTTTTATTTTTTCTTTTTACAGTGAATTATTATTTGATTTCTTTCTCTGACATTTTTTATTTGAATTAATTGTTTTAGCTTTAAAATATGAAATAAAGTGATATTTAGTCAGCTAAGATTTGAAATATAATAAGAACTTAAAGTACGTCGAAAATTCTAAGTCTCATTTATTACATTTCAAGAAAAATCTCTTTTAAAATTTGCAAATTCATTATCAATTATTTATCATTAAAACTAGTATTTTAAAGAAAAAAAAAGAAATAAGATATTTGTTGAATAGATCTAATCATCAACAATACAACTTTTGGCAGATTTCAGTCGAGAATTTTCAAAAAAGCAGCAGGATTAGAATATCAAAATCATAATGATTTCAATGGTTTTGGTGATGTTACAATGATAAATTGTAAGAAATCTACTCATTATCACAATTTTTTTTTTTTTTTTTAATGAGATTTTTTGAGTAAATGCTCCTTAAATCAGTTTTATTAGAAAAAATGAAATTTTGCTGAGAACCTTTTTTTTTTTTCATATCCTATAAAATATTTTTTATTTCAGGGGAACAAATGAAATGTGCAGATGATAGTAAAGCTGTAGTTTGTGATGAACGACCGTTTGAGCTATATGGCAATACAGTGTGGAAGCCATGCTTATTCGGCTATATTTGCATTAAAAAATATGAATGTTAGTTTAAAAGATATTATAATCGATTGATGTTTTAATTATAACGTTTAAAAGTTAAGTATTACTTACGTTAGCTATTCTTCTTCTCGCCTTTCACCGAGCTAAATTGTCAATGATTCAAATTATATTTGTTTTTATGAGAAATACCTGATGTTTGAAAATAAAAGCAGACAACCTATGATATTGCTTAAATATTAATAGTGCTGGATTACATGGTTGATAACAAATAGTTAGTAATATATGTTGTTAAAATACATTTTTAGCTTATTGCTTCAGGAACTAATTGGTAGCTTTTTTTTTTATTTATTTATTAGACATTACGTATGTTTGATTACATAGTAGACATGATAATAAGTAATACGTGTTACTGAACACGTTTTCAAGTTTGCTTAAAGCTTCAATTATACAACTATTATGTTTTGTCACTTGATGAGTTGTTAATCGCTAGTCTGATATTGTCATTAAAGTAACCAATCTACAAGAGACAGGCTTACGCAGGATAGGAGTTTTTTCACTAATTTTTAAAATTTTAATTTTGTCAAAATTTGACGCTTCTTACTGCATTCATTGATATTTTAAATTATTATTGAGCTTTCATGCTCTTTTTTTGCAGATGTTAACGAATTTCGACGTTGTAGTGAATTAAGTGAAGAGTTTAGTCCGATTTTTTGTAACAGTGCTTATGAATATCCACGGAATTTTAATTGTGATTTCTACAATAAATTTGCTTGTCAACGTGGCAAGCGTTATATCTATTCATGCATTTGTACCAACGGTCATCGAAATGCGTAAATTGATTTTTCGAATTTTATCGCATTTTATTCTCTTTATTTGTCGACTTTCAATAGTTTAATGGGAAAATTAAAATTTGTTTATTTCAAGAAAAAGAGGAGAATAAAGAAGTAAGAGTTGTATGAAGTAGATGGAAGCAATTCGGAGATTGCAAAAGTTTCCTTATTTGTTTTGTTTTCTTTAGGGATTCCCAAAGTTATATAATTTTAAATTGACTATTTCGAAAATATTTTGTACGTTTTTTTTCACATTTACAGTGATATGAAAACTTGCGCCAATACAACAATTTGTAGCAAAGGATTACCTGAGAAAAAATTTTTATCATCTACTACGGAAATACCGGGAATGATAATCATACGCACCACTACTGCTTACACTGTTCATACGACTGTTTTTCACAATTCAAGTAAGCATATCTATTTCTACCGCTTTGTAAAGGTTTTTGATTATATGTGAAATACTGAAGATATATCTTCCTCGTTTATAGAAATGTCAGTCAGAGCTGATCTCATGATTTTGGATTTTTTTTTTTTTTTAAACCAATAAAACAGTTTATTTCATAAAAGTCTTTGTATATCTTAAATTCTTGAACAATTCCTACTATTCTGAGTTATAGTAATTTGAAATTTCAGCTCGAGATATGGTAATATCTCAAAGAAAATGTCATCCTGGTTCACAGTTTTCTGCGCTTTTGAAAACTATTTTTTTCATCCTATCAGCATTAAATTATTATTATAGTAGCAGATAATATTAGAAGAAATTCTGGACATATTGTTATATTATTCAGAAAAAGATAAAAAAACCGAAATCCTTTCCGGCAAATTTAAAGTTATGGATTATGTTAAAACTTAAAATAACGATCTTAATGGCTACAATATTAGTAGTTTCAAATGAAACAAAATAAAAAATCGTATAATAACCGGTCAGCACTGCTAATAAATCAACGACGGCCTAATTAGCCTAACAAAAGTCTGCGTTAGTAAGCTTTTCCAACGATGGTTATCATCATTTTAATCGGTTTTAACCAGAAACCAAAATTATAAATGGAAAACGAATTATGATCAAAATTCTTATGTAACTTTATATTTTACTGCAATGTGTAAGAATACTACAAATAAATGAAGTTTTAAACATGAAATTATTAAACTATAACTTCATGAAATTTTCATACAATGAAAACGAAGCAAAGAGATATCACAGAAAATTTAATATAAAAGCTAAAAAAGAGAAATGCTTATGAGAAAAAGAAAGATATCACTCTTAATCATCACTTTATTCGCATTAAAGAACTGAAATAGAAAATGAAAATAATTATTTAATCATCTATAACAAACCCTAAATGCAAATTGATGAGATTTAAAAAGAACTGCAAAAGTGACAATGGAAAGTTTTATTTAATGAGAAACTAAGAAATTAAACTTAATAAAAAGATATAGTGAAATTTCGAACGAAAGTATTGAAATAATAGAATCACAAATCATTCCAACCTGATAGTTCTATCAATACGTTACAAGAATTTTAAAATTAAATCAACGTATTTTATTCACCACTTCGAACTTTTTTCATTTTTTAAAATGAAGCTATGTCGACTTATTTAAATTTTAATCAAAAAACTCATCAGTTTTATTACAAAAGTTCTCCAAATTTTGGACTAATAAGCAAAAGTAGACCGGTTATTATAATCTAAATGGTAGATAGGTAGATCTATACCTGGATTTAAACAGATTAAATTATACCTTTTCCCGTCAACAATCAATTAATGAGAACTACTAAACATAATGAGTGAAAATAAATAAATATACACATGGCACATTGACGAATAAAGAAAAGACACCATATGAATAAGTATTTGTAGAATTTGGTTAATCTTTAAAAAATTTTGAAGAATCTAAATTATACACCAAATATCAAAATTATCAACTTTTAGTTGGTCGGCCATTTCGGGCATGGAAAATAGAAGAATTTGGAATGAAAGTTAAAACTACAAAATTATCAAATGCAACTCGAAAAAAATAATATTAAATTAAGCAAATTAACAATGAATTGATTAAGTTTGGATGGCAGAAAAATAATAAAAGATAAAAAAAAAGGAATAAAGCATAAATTAATCCCTATATCAGCATATAAACAAGTGAAATGCAAATTAAGACAGAAATGAAATATGAAATTTCAATCCTATTATTATGATAGATTCCAACATTCTCCAAATATATTTCAGTTCTATTTCAAATTTCTTATCAATTCTAATCTGATAAATCTTTCACGATATGAAAATATACGGAATGAAGTGATATTAAGGCAGAGTAAGAAATATTCATTTACAAAAATATAAAATAAATTGAAAACTTTCAATTAATGCTGTAACAGTTCAGATGGCAATGAACTGGAAATAGCTAATTCCGGATTATTTATTATCGCCGGAAAGTAAATGGTACAAAAAAGGAGTAGAATAAATAATATATATATTAATACTTATATTGTTAGGATTTCAATCAATTTATGTTTCTTTTTTTTTTTTTGGATGAAAATAGAAAATGTATAGTGTAGCTAAAATGATCGACGGTCTATTGTCAAATTATTTCCTGATAATTTTCATCGATTTCATTCTAATATTTCTTTCATATCCAGAAAAAAAGAGAAAAAAAAAGGAGGAAAATGTATAATTCACGAAGGAGAATTAGCCACTAGGAAGAAGCAAACAACATAGGTTGTGAGGGTAAAAATTTTTAAATAATAAGTGCAGTATTCGGTGAATCCAGTGAATCAGCGGTTGGTTTACGTTGAAGCAAAAATTTTCTAAAAATAATTCATAACTATTATCAATCATCATTTTGTCAAATAACAAATATAAAATTAAAGAGTTTCTTAATGGTATAAAAACCTAGTAGGCATCAAAATAAATGTGTTAAAAGTATCACATATATCTCACAGGTATAGCTTTTATTCGGAAAATATCTAATATCACTTATCTTCAACTACTCTTAATTATTTCATAAAGGATAATATTCTTGAAATACTCATATTAAAGAGGCATCAACAACATGCAAGTTACGCTAAAATCACCTGAAAAAAAAAAAAGAAGCAAAGGACATCTCAAAGCAACAAAGGTATATAAAGCTTGGGAATGTATAAATAAAATAAATAACCTTCACTTCTAATCTTTAAGTCTATCTAATCAGGAAAACGAGATTAATCTTATAACTTTTTATCTAAATAATCAAAGTACTTCATTCAAAAAAATTTGTTCTATTTTTATCGTTTATTTCACATGTAAATTCTTTCATTCTAAAACCAAATTTATATCCAAATGATTAAATAATTGTAAAATGTAAAACAATTCTTTTACCCACATAACTAATAGGATTTTATCACAAAAATACCTTTGTGAATTACTCGATATGTAAGGAAATAGAATTTATTATTAATGGTATTATTTACCTCTTCTAAGCAATTACTTACTTATTCACTCTCTACTCAAAACTTTAGCTTTGAAAGTTAAAGGGCTGTCCTCTCCTAGATTGACCAAGTCCTTATCTAACTTAATCAGCTCCTTACTAATTCTCACTCAAATTTCGAAACAATTTCTTCAGTAAGCAAGAAGAAATCTATCGATTAATAATTGTATTAATATTACCACAACATTACCATCAAAATTCCACAAAAAATTAAACTTTGCAGTAAATTTTTTCTGTGAAACAACAAATTGCTCAATCAAAAAACTTTCATGAAACCACCTTAAAACAGATAAGGGAACAAAATTATCTTAGTACACAAAAGATTAAAATAAATGTATGAAATATTTTTATCACTTTAAGATTAACTGACAGACCTATCGAGTGGTGTAATACGATTTATACTTTGTTGTGAATCGAACATTGATGTTATTGTTGAAATAATTGAACTGAATGATAGTTTTGATAACGATCGTCTCACTACAAAATCATCCAAACCACGATGTACAGCAACTGGCCAATCACCCATTGCTAAGCGTGCTTGATGCTTATAAAACTCTGCACAAGCCAAACTTTGCTGAGTTGGCTTCCTAAATATTAAAGTTTAAAGTAAACGCCAGAAATAAATGATTAATTGATCAATTAAAAAAAAAAAAAAAAAAACTGATGAAATCCGAAGTCAAAAACCTGTCTTTGAAGACAATAATTAAAATACCTAAAATGATAGTTTTATTTCAAAAAAAAAAAAAAAAATCAAGCGACTGTTCCATTCAACTTATAAATCCATTATGACACTATAAAAGTTATAGAAAATAAGAGATTATGAATTATGAAATATATTGAAATCAATAATTAACCTGTAAAGTTTTAGTAGCAAGGATGAAGCGACAACACTAACTGATGATAAAGCCATTGCTGCTGCTGCCATCCATGGTTGAATTGTAAAATTCCAAGGCATGAAAACACCTAAAATGATAGTTCTATTTCAAAATTTTATCAACTAGTATAATCAACATTAATAAGCGATTGTCACCATTATTATGCTAACACTGTTGTTTTATACAGCAGGATAATATAAATAAATAAACCCATACAGATTTAAACATCAATGTTATTCACATATGATGAGATTCATTAATTCAAAATTAGTTTTGGTGGCCAACTGGAATTAAATATAGATATTGAGCTTCAAATAAACATTTGTTGGTTTCCAAACTTAAAGCCTGATAAAATCATCAAATTAACAACAGATCCACTAAGCTAATAATAGTTGTTGAATTTATTTTTTAAATGATTCTTATTACTCTTATTCTTTTTTTTCCCTTCTGCTTATCACATCCTTATCATATTTTTATGGCTTTTTCAGTTGTATCAAAAAAAAGAAAAACTTGCCACAGGCTCGTAATCATCACGCTTTACCTATACCTACCTTTCTGTAATTGTTCACTCCTAACAATCGTAACTTTTTGCAATCCTTCAAGAAAGCTATTTCAATTAGATCATAAACTGAACTAAGTAAGATTTGAAAAAAGAAAAAAAAAATTGAAC